ATTGGTGTTTCTCTCTCATCGATGTTTCTGACTCTCTATACTCTCTATCTCTCTCCCTTCCTCTCTGTAAAAAATCAATAAAATATATTTAATAAAAAAAAAAGAATAACAGTCTATCTAGGCAAGCCACTTGGTTCCCTTAAAGCTTAATATTAATAAAACAAAAGTAAAAGTGGTAATATCCAAGATAATGACTGTATTCAACACTAGTTATTCAGAAGATTGGAATTACTTAAGTATAAAAAGAAAAAAAAGGAAGCTTAGGAAATGAAAAACAAATTTATCTCCAGCAAAACTTGTCAGAGTACAATGTAGTTATCTTCACCCACCCATCTATATGAGAATAGACTTAGAAACTGTTTCTTGAGGAAAAATCTTAGCTCTACCTAAATTTCCTAACCTCCTAATTCAGGTACAAAACCTGCATTAGGCTTCTTAATTTTCATCAGCATTATCAAGTAGTAGAAACTGAGACAGAATTGCCAGAAACTGAATCCTAACTCTATTAGAGGACCCTTCAGTCTGCAGGCCGACACTATATCCACTCAGCCAAACTGGATAGGGCAGAAGAAAATATTTGTAAAACTAATTTCTTGGGCTTATCAACGTTTGGTTATTTGGTATGAGTACTTATGGATTTTATTAATTCTGTATTTCTCTCTGTGTCTGGTGTCTCTCCTTTTGTCTTGTCATATGTCCTGAAGAGCTTGGCCTTATGACCAGTGAGAATACTTTCTCTCTGGCTTCCAGAGGTTACACTTGCTTGTGTGCCTCCTGCTCTCTGTCCAGCCACGCTAAACTCTCAAGGGAATTTTCTATGTATATCCATTTCCTCCCAGAGATGATAAAAACAGGGCCCCTCATTCTTGTTTTCCATTAGTTGGAGAATATATATGCATATGGCAGGCAGCCAAGTAGGATGTGGATTTGACCTTAGGAAATCTAAACACCCCATTCAAAAGGGAGGAAACATGATTCCCCATATTTTGGAATGGCTGTTTCTAACTCTGGGAGTCAACTTTGACTTGTGAGGGTTGCATCTTTTTGCACTCTCTTTTGGGGATGTCTCTTGCATCCAGAATATTGGTTTGAGTAGCTATTAAGATCCTACTCGTCAATAGACAAATACTTTGAACTGGAAAACTTTCTAAATGGAAAAGAAAGAAAACCATTTTCAGAGAGCTCTCATATTGTTATACTGGCTAGTCATTAAGATTCCTTTAATAAGATGGAGGGAGAGAAATCAAAATAAACTCAGACACCTTCCTATTTGCCTTCAGACATTTGCAGATATAGAGAAAGCAAACCCGGAGGGCATGGCTCAGTGGCTGAGCATTGACCTATGAACCACGAGGTCAAGGTTCGATTCCCGGTCAGGGCATATGCCGGGTTTGGGGCTCGATATAGTGTGGGGTGTGCAGGAGACAGCCGATCAATGATTCCCTCTCATCATTGATGTTTCTATTTCTCTCTCCCTCTCTATTACTTTCTGAAATTAATATATATATATTTACAGAAAGAAAGGGGGGCGGGAGGAAAAGAGAGAAGGGGGGAAGGGAGATGGGATATTGGAAGTATAACCATTCTGCACTTATGAAGAGAAAAAAACAAAAGGCAAAATCTTATTAAAAGACAATTTATACATTTTTATGTCCTAAGAACTGAGCTTGGTAACTGTCAGGTTGGAAGCTCCAACGTATAGCCAGACAGAAATGTGGGCTAAACTCCATTTATGGCTACAGTCCTACCAAACTGCTGCCAGCCCTCAAGGAAATTATAACCCAAAATTACAATGATTATTATGAGTAATGTTCCAAATAGATTAGATCATTTAAAAGCAAGGGCTTCCAAATCAAATAAACAAAATGAGATACCTATATTTTAATATTGATAGAGGTAAAACAAAGAGAAATTTATAGGACTCCTTGACATGAGAATTCCATGAACTATGGGAACAAAAACCCATTGGTGAAGCCCTAACTCAGGCTACAATTAGGTTAAAAGAATATAGTAATGTAAGGATTGATACAATTATGAAAACTGGAAGGTTTAAACAGGCTTTATGTTAAAAAGAGTTATGTCAACTTTATCTGAATGTTTTATGGAAAAGGATGTCTGGCAGGGAACAATTCATCAACCCAAAACCTGTTGATAAAGTTCTAATGGAGGCTATAGTTAAGATTTAATGGTTGATGGAGTTAAGATAAAAGATTAGAGGCAAGTTGTTATGTTTTGCACAGGCTTCATGTAAAGTAATTGCATCTCCTTTATCTGATTGTATTGTGGAAATAGACATTGTCTCTCGCCAGGAAACATTCCCCTGCCTGCCTGGGACATGAAGGCTGTCAGTTCTTTCTTTTGGCTATCAGAGGGTATGATCTGGAAGGTAATGACCTTTGCAGCCTCTTGAGTCCATGCAATTGTTTAATACTGCCAGAAATATTTACCATTTATTCCAGCTGAAACCTGACAAGCTATTTGAAAAGATTTAATAACTTTTTTTAAATCAGAAATTTGGCAAAATTGGAAGCTGAAGATTAAAGAGTATGATAGGATTTCTTAGAAATCATCCTCTCTCCCCACCCCGCACACTCCACAGGTTTAGCTTAGTTGGTTGAGCTTCGTCCCATATACCAGGAGTTCGCAGGTCAGGGCACATGCCCAGGTTTCGAGCTATCCCCAGTGTGGGGCATACAGGAGGCAGTGATCAATGTTTTTCTTTCATCCATGTTCCTATCTCTCTCTCTTCTCCCTTCTTCTCTCTGAAATAAATTAAAAACAAAACATATTTTAAAAAATACATCCTCCCCTATGCTAAATAAAACAACACAAAAACGATGTACCCAGAGGGGAAAAAAAGCTAATTAGGGATGAAGTGGCTTGGGAGGAAGGTCAACCAGAGCAATTGTCCTTATCTTACAAAGGACATTGTGAAACCAGAAATGCAGCTCTAGAAGCAGTTCACAGCCCACCTATCTTTATCATCCTCAATTCCTAAGACCAAAGGAGGGAAAAAAGAAAGGTGTGTGTGTGTGTGTGTGTGTGT